TATATATACATGTGTGTACATGTACATACACACACATACATGTATAGAGAGAGGTTCAGATGAAAACTCTAAATAAATGTAAAACTAGAATACGTCTTATCAACTGTTAGATTAGTTGATCTGATGGATGTGATTAAATAAGTGGTTACAACAATATCTTTTAATTAAAAGATCCCACCCCCAATTTTTTTATTTGAAAAAAGATAAAAAATAAAATAAAAAACATTCGAGCGAAATAAATTACATTAAAAAATCGATCTTATTTTTCTCGTTATTTGACATCCATGTCGATATACTCTTCAACCATTTTTTTATGGTTTTTTTTATTTTCATATTTTTTGCGATTTTTCCTTTGAAGCTGATACTATACGTATAATCGGTTATATCTTATGTTGATATTAACATGGAATAGAAGTGGGTAGGGCTATTAACCTTTTGTCGTGCTCCTTAAATTGCAGTTGAAGGTTTCCATCAATATTGGGGTGCATAATCTTTTGGTTGGGCTCCATAAACCCTTAAAAGAAATTTAGTCATTATCATTATTCTATTCTTTCTACTTTCTCATATATATATATATATATACACATATAGATATACAGGGTTAGGTTTCGGTGGAAAAAAGGGTTAAAAGTGAGCGTAAGAAGAGATCTCCACCTTTAGATGCACATTAGGATGAGATGCATCAGATCAATCCATATATCGAACGCAATTCTTGGTTGGGTTTGAGATTAAAGGTGATCAAAAGTTCAGATCACTTCTTACGCTTCTCATATTTAATTGTCCTTCTCACTGGAACCTAACCCTGTATACGTATATGAATATGTATATGTATATGTATGTAGGGGTCCACTCAAGAGAGAACTAATTAGTTTGTGGTAACCGTAAGATCCAATGTGAACCACTCGTTTGAGATATTTAATGATATTTCATAAATAAGCTAAAAGGATAATGTAGTAATTCTATTTTTGACAAATAATCAAAATATTTAATTAAACTTTTTAGAAGGAAATATTTAATTAAAATTAGTTAACTAGTATATCAATTACCTAAAATATATCTTATTGTAAAGACGTTTGTGAATCAAAATGTATCTCAGTGATAACGTTCACAATGTTTCACAATGTATTTTCTTTGTTTTATGAAATGTATCATAGTCTGCATTTTCATTATTTTCATTGATTTACAAAAGGTATCGCATATTCACATTGTGCATCTTGTATGGATATCTGGGTATCATAGTGGATATCGTTTGTAGGTATCACAGTGTGTATCTTGTGTTTACATAAGGTTAATCGGAATAAAGTTCCCTGAATAAGATTCGTCGGAGAGAGGAAAGATGAGAGAAGATATTTATAAAATCCCTAAAATGCCCTTAATTAATATTTTAAGTTAAGATTACCAAAATTATTAATTTTATAATATAACATTTGATTTGTAGTTGGGATTGGATCTCACGGATACCACAAACAATATATGTATATATATATATATATGTGTGTGTGTGTGTGTATGTATGTCAGTATGTAGAAGAAAGTAAAAAGAATAAGATTGTAGACTATATACATATATACACATGTATACAAGCATTCAATCCATGACCAACGATTGTTACATTCTCTGCATATATTTGTGCTTTTAGTTGTTGAAAAAATTAAGATTGTACTATTAAAAAAAATTCAATAAAAGTTCGAATCTTTATCATTAAAGTTTAAAACTTTATCGACAAATAAGAAAAACATATTAAACTGAATCTTTATTTGATCAAGATGGTGATTACAGAATTCGGAATATCTAAAACCCAAACCCATTGATATCACAAAGATTAAAAACTAGCATTCGCGATAGAATCAGTAAATGAAAGGGGTAGAAGCAGGCTTGTTCACTTAGTGAACAAAAAGTAAATTGCAAGACAATAATTAGAGCCAACATGCAGTTGTATTTCATTTATCAGCAACTTATGACAACGAAATTATAAACAAAGTTGATGCTAAAATAGTTTAGGAAGAAAACGACACTGTGTGATCGAAAGAGAAGAGAGAATTGCAGTTTTTTCATGTGTGTTTAAGGAAGGGCTTCTTCCTAAAGACAAAGTGCAAAGTTTTCCCTTGGCCATGGCTGCATGTGCCTGTTGGACCTTCCACTCTTACCCCCACATGAGCCCATTAATATGTTTAAAGCCCAATTGATGTAAAAGCCTTATAAAACTTTTTTAGTATCATCTTCCTTCCTACAATAATTTCCAACAGTTGTACATTCAATTTATCATCCATCTTCCTCTTCTTAATTGAAGGATCAACCACTACACTTGGTGGAGGTCTGTTTCTTGATCGAGGATTAATTGTTGTTGGTTTTCTTGCATCATAATTAATTTGGAGATGGAGCCATTATCAAAAGTTTCACGTACCCTGAAAGAAAACAAAAGGTTTTGATTGAGTTGTTTTGAAGCTACAAACACTTTAAGATGAGCATTTCTAGAAAATTAAATGAAATTCTTTGACCCAATTTACACCATTGATGATATATATATTAATAGCAGTAAAAGATATATCAAAATATAGTAAGTGAATGAAATTAGAAAATAGATTATAATGAACTATAGTAGGTTATAATAAGATGAAGGAATGAAAGACTACTACTCTCTCATAGGCAACTGCAACTGCAACTTCGTTTGCAACCTTACAAATTAAGAGGCCAACAAAACTGATAATAATTGTAAACAAAAATACAAAGTTACAACAACCAAGACTCACTCCACTGCCCCCCAATTCTCCATCACCACTTTTCATGTAGAGAAATCCCCAAAAGTCATAGATTGCCCCAGTGCAGTTCGTACACGAAGCTGCAATCAGACAACGATGCATCACGAATTGAAGAAAATAACAGACAGATGTATTCTATGAAAAAGAAAAAGAGTCGAGAAGAAGACCACCTTGACATCCAAGCAAGGATCATTCACCATGTTCTTCAATTGAGAGACTATGCCAGCATTTCTTAGTTTTACGACTCGTGCTAATGCACCAGCACCAGTTGGAATAGTGAGATTGACTATAGTCCATACAGCAGCTGTTCGCAATTGGGCAACATCACTTTGCAACATCCTCACCATTATTGACTGGGTATCTTCATTGCTTGCCTGTGGCTGTGGGAGAAGTTGCTGCATCACTGCTTCCTTGTGGAACTCTTGCCCAGATGCCACATTGCACAGCACATACATTCCCTGTACAATATTAAGCACACTTCAAAACTAAAAAAACAACTGTCCTCGATAAGATAGAAACAGCCAGCGCAACTGCCAAATAAAGGTATAGGTCATCAATTTGGTTCCCCTCAGGGCATTGGGGATCTGCGTCGTTGTTGTTATCTTCAGGGGCCATGGGATTAGTCGAGACACCCACTGTAACCAAAAAAATAAAAATAAAACATAGAGATAGGATCATCTTGTAAGATTTACTAATCGCTTTGAATAGTTGCCCTTTATCATATGAGGGAAGCCAGGGTAGCCTCAGAGAAACAACGGCTAGTATATTTGGGGAAATATGCAGATACTACCAAGTAAATTATTCTTATTTGGGCCACTGTACATCATGATTTGACCACATTGTCCACCAATCCTATTTTCTAGCCAAAAGAAAATGAATTTACCAACTTACTTGTATATTAGATGATGTCACCATTAACGCCCGTCAAGGGTAATTATGTTAGACATATCTGATGGCTGAAACGCAGGAGTGGCAGAAACAAGTGATCTGAACATGAAGTGCCCAAATAAATACTCAGTTGTATAGTGCCCAAAATATATGTTTCCCAATGGGTAAAAGGGACCAGATCAATATATTTCCCACACGGTATGCTTCTTGATCAAGAGAGTTATTTATATATGGTTTGATACTTGACATAATCAATTCGCTATCAAGAAGAAGTCCATTCATGAATTGGATTAACCGAATAACAATGGACTAGTCCATGCCTAAATAAACTTAGATGCTGGTGCCAGAAGCCCTATTATAGTAACAGAGAGAAAACCCTTCATCACAATGGCTAATGTTAGGTCTTATAACATGAAACATTCAAGTGTGAAAATATAAGAAATTAAGAATGAATGCACAGTCTCATTTTTGCCAAAACTCATAGGAAATAACTGGTACGAAATTCTAGATATACTTACGGAAGACACTAAAGAAAACTGCTATGTTGCAATGTGACAACAACAAAGCACAAACTACAATTGTAGAGATTCTGAGCCAATGCATATCAAGGTTTCAGGTTCTAGAGCTGTAATTTACTCCTACTTAATTGCAAACAGTAGATCATAACATCAAATGTAATACATCCTACATGGCGTGTAGATTTATGGGATTTCGCAACAAAAGAATTTGAATATTCTATTTGGCTTTTCAGATCCTGTTAATATGCAATCTGAATGATAGAATTAGGAGAGTCATTTACACCTAAACTTTTATAGGAAAGACTTCTAACCTGAATCAGAACTTCATGTTTTGAAGCGCTCCATAATTGTCTTCCAACAGCATTCAGTAAAAGACCATCCTCGGTGAAAACATACTCAATAGAGTCGACAGGTCCGTTAACAAGGTTGCAAACAAGGGCCAAAGCTTGCTCTTGGACAGAAGCACTAGGATCTGTTAGGCATGTTGTGCAGTAGTCAATGTATGGTTCCTGCAATTTGCATAATCAAGTCATCGACTATAGTGAACATTGGATTACCACAGACGAGGCTTGTTAATGTCAATGCTCTCAGCTCCATAAAGATCCCTTCTTTACACCTGCTGTCGACAAGAAACATCAAGTTTCTCAAAGCCCATACAGCATTTAGCCTAACAGTTGAATCCATAGATTTTGATAGCTGAACAAGCTGTTTCACACCTCCACTTTGTACGAAAAGGGACTTGTGCATGGTAAAATCGACCACTAAGTTACTGATAGTGCATAATGCAGCAACCTGCAAATTGATGGCATTGAAATCCAGTTAACCATATAACCAAAGCCTACGAATAAGGAACACCGAGGAATATGAGCATATCAGATTTACTTATGCAAATTATATATGGAATTTGATTCATAGCCTGATAGCCAGCACTAAATGAAAGTGAAAAATCTGGTGGATCATTTTCCTAACCAGTTGCTAAGCAGACATTGGCAAGTCAGCTGACATGGAATCGTGTTTTGGAGGTTTTCATATGCATTGGTTAGAACCTACTCACTTTTCAACTAATCATATATCTATATAGGGAAATTATCCCATTTTAAATTCCGATAAAACATGACTTCACCAAGACATTTGTGAGTACCCAGAACACCATCTAATAGAAGGATGATTCTTCACTATCCACTTCGGTTCCCGGTAGATAAATCAACTTATCTGTAGTCATTAAGCTAATGGAGGAGCCATCTCCCTGTCAATTGTAGATTGGATGGTTACAGAAATCAATTCCCATCTGATAGCGGCTATGGAATCATAACCTTTTGCTGCAGGGGAGCAAGTCCATTTAGCCTCATCCACCATCTAAAAATAATCGAACCACCATAGTGAATATCGCTATCCAAGAATAATTGTAGCAAATGGGTCAAACTAGAAGATGCATTGCAGCTGTTAGATGATGATCTCATGGTGTAGATTGGGTTACCCACATCGAACACTGCCTAGGTTAGATTACTATCTATCTAGACACACACACATAGGGTTGCTCATGGGTTGGGATCAACCCAACCCAAGTGTCACCAAAAACCTTGACATGTTCTAGTTTAGCTCCAATTGAACCTTGTCGTTTGATTTTTTAGCAATGTTAACCTCAATATTCGTAATTAAATTTCACATTTTACTTTAAATTTTAATGCACTTCTTCACATGGGTATTTGTTTCCGGTTCCTATTTTTGTATATCAAGACATGTGGATATACACAACATAAAATCATACACAGATCTGGGTTCAAGCTTTCAGCCATGTGAATAAAGAAAATAGCACTGCTCCTAGAAACTTCTCAAAATGCAACAAATCTTCAAGATGTAAAGCTTGTCAAAGATCTTAGGGGCTGTTTGTTTGGCTCTTAATGGTGACATTAAGAGCCAACCTCTTAATCGCTAAGAGGCAAGGGTTGTTTGGCAAAAAAAAAAAGAAACTCTTAATGGTTACAAAAGGCTCTTAACCATTTAGGGGCTAGGGCTCCCCTCAACGATTCAGAGGGGTCTTCTTCCATTTTTGCCCTCTCCTCAACAGCCCGCTGCTCCCACGATCGATCCATTTTTGCCCTCTCCTCCTTCCAATCGATCTCGTCTCCTCCCACGCCTCCCACCCTCCTTCCAATCGATCTCGTCTCCTCCCACCCTCCTTCCTCCTTCCAGTCGATCTCGCATCCTCCCATGAGTTGCTGCCTCTCCCGAGTTGCTGCTGTGTCGCCTCTCCCGAGTTGCTGCTGTGTTGCCTCCACCATCTCCGTCCCCGTCTCCGCCTCCATCGTCTCCGTCTCCAGGAATCCATTTAAGATAAAAATCAGTTGGCTAAACTCAAAAACCACTAGCGAGTGTTTAAGGTTGGGTCCTTGTCTGCGGTTGTTTCTTCGAAGGAGGAGGATGAGAAAGATGAATGAAACTAGCACAGAGATGATACTTCCATTTTTTAACTGATTTCTTGCAACATTTTTTTAGATTGATTGATGATGTAGATTAGGGTTGACTGATTCAGTTTTTGAAGTTGACTAGAAGCTAGTTCCAGTTGATAATTTGCTTTGTTTGTTGTTAATTTAGGTCATACAAGTGTTTAAGGTTGAAGTAGCATCCCTAATGTGAATGAGGGTTAAAATGGTAATTTACTGTCATTCAGAGAACAATTACCAAACAACATTATTTCATTCAGCACTTAACTATTCTGGTCCTCTTAACCATTCTGACCACTTAACCATTCTGCACCAAACCATTCAGCAACCGCCAAACAGCCCCTTAGTCTACAGCAATGTATTGTTCTAAAGCAAGAAAAAGGTATAACATTCCAACCAAACAGATGCTCTTTAGCAACAAAAAAGAAAAGAAAAAAGGAAATCTTAAGTTGTATTTGCTAGGCATTAAATCCATATAATTAAGAAGACACAGGACTGCTAGTTTGAATCCCTATGTGTGCACATTAATCACTCTTGTTGTTGGCAAAATGGAGAGATATTGAGACTCCACCACTCCACCCCATGACTCTGAAAGAAAAGAGGGAGGTCCCGAGCCTAGTCTATCACCTCTCTGTAGTTTCCTAGATTTTGTTTTTCTTTGGGGGGAGGTGGAGGCAAGATGTACCTGGACAGAAGTTGAAGTATCATATAGAAGCTGAATCAGCGGCATGATAACTGCTTCTGTCATAAAATGACCTGCACTAAGATACTGCCAAAAAATAGTTTTAGCGAAGATACTCGAAGAGAACTTTATAAAAATATGACATGCTTTTTTCAAAACTACGAACCTTGACCGAGCGAGAAATATTTTTCAAACAGATACAAGCAGCAACTCGTACATCCGCAGTAGCATGAGTCAGAGCAGCAGTTACAATGTTTAAGGCCTGTACAAGTGTAGCCAAAAGCAAACAAGTAGAATGTTCAGAAGTGACAGTAAAAGAAATTTTCCAACCATCCAAGTTCGTTTTAGCACTAAACACATAAAAACAGACTTCAAACTTTTAAAGAACAAAGAGATGATGCACTAAGCAAGAGGCAAAATGGAGGAGAACTTGGACAAATAATGATAACACGTCAATAAAGCTACCAATGTCAGCATGGGCATTTCATGAGTAACAAACATAATTCGTATTACAATCATGAGGTGTGCAGCATCAAACTTGTTAAGTAAGAACATATGCTAAATCATTGATTAAACACACTAAGCTGGGAGGGCAACAGTACTGGTAGATTTAAAATGACCAACAGCAGTCACCGCCAAAATGAAGAAACCAAGTCAAATAGACCCCAAGGAAGACAGTTAGCCACTCTATACAGGCATTTACTGCACAGCCCTCACTTCTTTGCATACCTCTTATAGTTTCCCATCTTACCTTGTGTGCAAAGCATGAAAGATTTTGATGTACAAATCTCACTTATCTGAACCATATAAAGTGAAATGAAATCTGAACAGCTATCTGGTCATATGTTCCACAGTATGACAAGAACAGGTCATGTGATTGCCAATACTCCGGGTTCATCCAGAACCCCCAACCCTCATATTTTAGGGAGAGGAAAACTGAGAAAGACTTTTATCTATAACCAAACACCTACCTTTGTCAGGTAAGATTTTTGGAAGGAAAATGTTTCTGGTCTACTCAAAAGGTGTTAAATTGACCATGACAACAGTGCTTTCTGATATAGAAAGTGAAATGATCTACCTCACATCCTTACTGATCACAAATAAGAATGCAGAATGGGAAAAAGTTGGTTCTCCCACACCATCTCATGAAATTTCAAGTTTTTACTAGAATATAAACAGTTTACAAGAAAAAAATGATGATTAGGTGAAATATATGAAAATTTTAAATTTCAAGACAAAACATTGTCATAGGACAAATTATATCATGCACAAGTTGAACCACAAACACTACATTGGGGTGCATATTGAAAAATGTTGTTTCTGTGGAAATTTACGTAACTAACAAGTGCAACTTAAAAGCATTTTGTGATATTCTAAGAAGATGCTAAATTGACAATGACAACAGTGTTTTCTCATGTATCAAGTGAAGTCATCACCTCACACCCTTCCGAATCACAAATAAGAAAAAAGTGTGGCGATGCTGAATTGGGAAAGAAATTGATTCTCCCACACCAATTCATGGAATTTCAAATTTTTGCTTGGATTTGAACATTTCCAACCAAAGAAGGGCCAAAAAAGTAATTGAAAATTTCAAAACAAAACATTGATAGAACGTTCTATCATGCATGAGTAGAAAACAAACTCTACATCATGGTGCAAACTGAAGAATTGTCATTCTATGGAAGTTTCTGTAAATCAACAAGTGTAGCTTCTAATAGCCTCTAAATGGATCCAAATCCAACAAATGAAAGAAATCATGAAACAACAAACCTTGGGTGATTGTAAAATGATAGACCTGCAACATTCCAGATTCGAGCAAAGATTAGCCAATGTCATAAATATTCCCTGAAGACGTTTGGCTTGTAACAATTCTTTTTGCAAGTGGTCACAAAGTTTGTCAATAGTACTCGCCTCAAAAGCCAACTTTTGCAGACCCTCGTCATCCGCTATGAAACTAGATAAAGTCAACACCGCTTCATCTCCCACTTGACCAGGATCATCAATAAGTTCAAGTAATACCAATATCAACTTGGTTCTGATTCCCACAGATTGAAGATAGGATGGAGCAGCGTTCTTAATCAAAATTAAGCACACGCATGCAAGCAATCTTGTCCTTGGATACCTATCTTTCGTTAACTCTATTAAAGTGCCCCATGTTCTACCATTTTCAGGTCCCACAAACTTTGAAATAACTTCTGGATTTTCTTTGATAATTGTAGCAAACGATTCTAAGCTAGCATCTCTCTGGCTTGTAGTGCCTCCAAGGAGGTCAATGAGCTTCTTTAGAACTCCAGCATCACCCAATATCTTCTGTTCATCATTCGTTTCACAAGAATGTGTTATGATACTTGCACCAAGTCCAGTTACATTTTCGTTATTCTTATCTAGCAAAGATATAAGAAATTCCATGTTTTTCTCTTCAAAAAAGTCATACTTAGGAGCCACTTTTGATTGATATATCATTTTAAGGGCACGAGCTCCTGCATCTACAACCTGCAGGACAAATTCAAATTTTTAAGAGGTTCAGCACTTGTTTAAGAGACTGGCAGTATCAGAACATGTACATTGCCAACAAGTAGATATATGTGACATAAATTTAATAATTACTTTCACAAATGGTTGCATTTAATTAAATATGAAGCAATAGACCACATTTGCCATGAGACCCACACAATAGTGTAATAGTTCGTCACAACTACCACTAGCATTGCTAAATAAGCCTATTAGCAATAACCGACTATTGATGCACAATTTGAGATCCCGTGAGAGAGAATAAAGTCAAAAGGGGGTGGTGTTGGCTAAAGTTAATTGTTATGGCAAAATTCATGAAAAGAATATCATATAAAAAACCAAAAGAAAATTCATTAGGACGTTGAAAACAAGGAATAAGAAATCACAGTTCACACATAGAACCAATGTCTTGACTCAAGTAAAATTCTCGAGTATGAACGTATGTATGCCATATGTTGTGTTAGGCCAGCTACAAATGGATTTTATCATCAATTCATAAGAGAAATAAGCCAGACATGGATCAGGCTAACGAATAGATCCTCTTATTGTTGGATTTAATGATGAACGTAAATTGTAAAAAGGTGTAATGAAATTGGATCTAGACCAAATTGAATGCTTAACAGAAAGAAGACATGCAAATAGAAAGGTTTCTACATGGAAAAAGCAGGCCAAGTATCATAAAGCACATATATTATATAATGATCATGATGGTGATCAAGCAAACAACAAAAATGATTTTGGGCTCCAACACTGAGTAAGAAAATAAATATGTTTCACAAGTACAATAGGGATGGTATGTCAACGAAGATCCTACCATCGATCCCCTAATAAAGATTATTGAGAATAATTCAGCAAACACTAGATTAGTGACCTTTGTGCGTTGAGAGAGAAGAATGTGATCATTCTTAATGCAATTGCTTACATCGCACCCACGGGATGGCTTTGCTAGATTCTTTCTCGCAAACTATTGGATGCCTTTAATAACCCTATGAAGGGTAGCCCTCCCAACTTCAAGGGTGGTGGAATATAGGTGTTGAGAAGTCCAAACCATGGGATACACCAAGTACTATAAGCAGGAACAAAATTTTCATCACCAAGAGGAATATTAAATGTGAGTTGACATTCTGTGGCTTTGCTGATGGGTCATTCTAATGTGGGAAATTGAATCTGCAAGGTTTATAAACTGAATTGATTAGAACCAGAGTGCACAGAATAGAAGCAGACTCACCCTCAGTGAGGAGGAGAAAGACGTAGGTTTCTCTGACCATGGTTGATTAGCATACAAGGTAGTTCAACTTGAGGCTTGACATGACATAAGTGTGGTTAGAAAATCAGATTTAGATGCAAAATGGGCCTGGAGCATCATGACATGTGCCCTTTAGGATTTCACTCTTGTCTACTTTTTGATGATATGCAACTAAGATGGTGCTACTTGGTTCCTTGATTTAAACAATGGTTTCACCTTTTGAGGCTGATGAATTGAAGACTAGAAGAAAGACACCTGTCAGATAGCAGCATATCAATAATTTGGTATTTAACCCTTCAGCTTATAGCATGTTGGGTATTGAGTCACTTCTTGTTTATGCCCTTTTAGTACTAATAGCCAACGGCAATTATGGGAAGACTTGTATATCTCACAAGTATAGAGAGGTTCTCACTCTCTAGCATTAAAACACCCAGAATCTCTTTGCCAGTAGGCATAACAATAATTATGCAAGTGCTCAAGTAGTTTTGCTCTAAAACAAGTGATAGAAAATACTAGAAAAATATTGTGTGAATATTTCTCATTCCTAAAGTAGAAGGTCCAATAAGCATGTGCTTATCCACTCCAGGTTAGTACTTAGCAAGGTGTTCATTGAAGTGTTCTGAAAATCATAGCTTAGGAATGCTTAGTCGACAACCTAAGTGTCACCTTGTTGTCATAGACATGACCAATTTGCATGGCTCCCTTGCCTTGATGTCAGTTTGATGCAGTCACCTTGTAATTCATATCAATTTTAATGACGCTTGCTTTGTAATTCATGGTGAAGCCACGTGTATAGGTCAAAATGGAACTTTATAACAGCCCAATCAAAAAGTAAATGGAGAAAGAGAGAAAAAAAACTGATTACATAGATCAATTTCGAAACCCAACTTATGCGCTAATCAACTGTGCACTAAATAGTGGAACGGTGAGACATGAGAAGATGAGTGCATAAACTTGACAAGTTAGAAAACTCAAAAGTCGCATCACAACAGCAGAATATTGTCCCTTCTCATCATCCAAAGAGCATCGCAACTCTTCTCTCATGAGTCGAGATATACAACTCCCATTCTTCTTCTTTCTTCTCCTTTCCTTGGTGTGTTGTCTTCTGTTTTCTTCTTCCTTCCTTCCTTCTGCTTTTCTTTAGTGGAGTAATATTAGCACGTCTTTTGCTACTACACTTCTTGTTCTCTTTTATTACTAAAATTACCTAAGCCAGAGAAAGATACAATTCTCTGTGCATGATGTGCAAGCCTTAATCAACATGGCATTGAATTTGGAACTTTAGCCCTAAATGTATTATGACGATAAATTCTAGATTCTAAGTAGGAAACCTTATAGTTGTTATGCATCATGTGTGTATAGTTGATATTGTGTGTTTTAGTTTTTAAAAATAGGCATAAAGTCGTATAGTGTTCTAGCTTGTTGAATGTGCGTAAATCTTTTGTACTTAATACCAAACACCTTATATTTGACGGCTAAACGTTGGTATATTTGAGTATAATTCTATTACAAAAATTTACACACATTAATAGCATATAGTGAACAACTTGTCGTTGTACAAATGACATGTGGCCATGGCATCCTTGTAGTTGGCTACCGACATGACAACTATGGCATCACTGCATCAACTTCTTACTTTGATCAGCAAATTCACTGAATTAAACATTTCCAAAAAATAAGCAGGATCTAGAAGGCTAGGCAGAGACTAATTGGGTTTACCCTACTAACTAAATGTATAAATTAAAAGGCTAGGTAACTCTTGGCCCAATTAGAAAACTAATTAAGCCAACAAATATTGCATCCCAAATTCAGCTTTATCTCATATAGCCAAATTTCCTAAATGCAAACGAGAAAATTTGCAATTATTGCCAATCAGATAGAAATTAGAAATGGTAGAGTTTTGGAAATAGAAATTAGTGATTAGAAAAACAACTGTATCAAAATAAATTGGAATCAGAACTTTTACTTCAGATGTTTACATCATCTAAAAGTAATGATACTTTTATAGGTTAAATGGCCAGCTTGATTTCTCTTAGTTAAGCATCCTCTTAGGTCTTAATTCCTACTTAGGCACGCCAGCACTAGAATACCACTCTACCCCCTAGCATCGCTTAACATTTCGTACAACAGTGGTTCATTAGCTAGTCATTTGAATCCTATTGGTTTGGGAATGACTAGCTTAACACTCATTACACACAGTCTAGAAGGTTACTTCCATGGCTTGAACGCATGATCTTGGGACCATAAAGAAGTAAGCTTAGTAGTTGCTCCCTTTCTTGCCACTTTATTAGATCTTAAGTAGTTAATTACTGGATTTTTCTAGCTTTCCAACAAGCATCAGAAAGCTGCCTGGACATGTTTCAGCTTTGACAAATCGACACTAAGCAAACCTATGGTAGAAGAAAGTCATATCTGACCTCAGGGACAATTCAAGACCAACATGCAGGTTGGTGGTACGATAGAGATTTACCCTAATAGAATTTACCATGGGAATTGGCCAAGAGCAGATGTTGTCCTAGACATTTTAAGCTAGATTCATAACATTACCTTCCAATTGTTTCTCAATTTTAGCTATATACACAACTGTTACAAGTAAAAGGATGGTGGTTGTTTTGTAATATTGATTCAAGTACAACAGAAGTAGCTGATGGTTGTACCTTTTTATGTTGGGTTATTTACAATACTTTATACATATTATCCAAATATCCAGTATAGATGTTTAAACAACCAAAGGTTTAGACACTCTACGGCCCACGATCAACATAAGATAAATAAAAGAAAGTGACACAACTAGGGCGTAACACTCGCTCTTAGAAAACCACAGATGTACAGTTACTCCAACACTATTTCTACTCCAAACTTACCTTGTATCACTAGTCCATTGCAATTGGGTAATCTTACAGTCACAACATACTGTTTGCTCTATGTGAGAAGTACTTGAACTAGCAAACTGCATTTATCCTTGACACATAATTTAGCTCTAGGATCAAACAATGCTGTACTCATATGCTCTTTGTTTATCAGCAAAAATAATATTTTACATGGACGGAAGGTTCTAACCGTTTATACATCATGAATGTATCTTCATAGACCAACCAAGCGCAAATCAACCTTGCAAATTTATGCATGTAGACACTATCAATCATGCACATGCAATCTTATCAGATTGCGGAAGTAAAGAAGAATTTCATCATCATGAAGTCTCTTTTCACATAACAAGTTCCAAAATTAAAACAATCTCGAATATCGGTTATTGAGAGAACTGCATCCTATGCCGATTAACCTAACCCTAGCCAATTAGGCACGTTAATTTCTACCGCTTTCGCTTTTATGCCAAGTAAACAAACCGCTTACCAATATGTTATAGCAATACAAATTCAAAAACACTAAAACGATTTGGAAATAAGAAAACCTTTTCGTTCGGATGTGAAAGGAGATTTATAAGGTGAGGAAAAGCTCCGGTATCTAGAACGGCCTTAACGCCGGCATCAACACCGCATGCAAAACTGCCAATGGTTGCGGCACACTGTACGAGAAGGCAATCGGCTGAAGAGGAAGCGGATGATAGAATCGATACGACGAAAGGAACGGCACCCAACTTGATGTAGGAGAGCTTCTTTGTTCGATTGCCAATTATCTGGTTCTTAAGTTCCCTGAGGACCTTTAATTTGGCTTCTCCGCCGTCTGCGGCGGCGGAGCGAAGCCGCTCAATTAAACCCTCAGGGCGGTGAGTCGACGACGCTGAGCCTGGCATGGTCGTCGGACGACGGCGAATGTCATACGCGCCGCACCAACGCGTGTCTATAAGCGCGTTAGTGTGTTTTTAGAGAGAGACGAGACTACAATCATCAATTGTCCCAAAAGACATCCACCATTTGGTCCTTCTGTTTTTCGAGTAAACTTCTTTGAAATATCATTTTCTTTCATATTTATAAAACTTTTATATTATATTTAATATAATATTTTTATTTTTATTATATTATAAAACGTTAAATTCTTAAAAATCATTTTTAATATATTGAGTATTGTATTATGTTGTATTTTACTTGATATTTAAGATTATACATAAATAGTGCAAGAGTATAACTTTAAAAAGTTATATTTTTGAATTCATATAACTAATTCCTTAATGATACATATTACTTAAAATTCAAAATTACAAGTAAATACTATAAAAGTTAAATTTTAAAAAACTACATGTTTGAATTCATATAATTAACTAATAAAAATAATCAAATACAAGATAAACATATCATTTTAAATATAAAAAATATAAAGTATAATTAGGATAATCATTAACTTGTAACAGTTTAATTAGTATCTTTACAAAAAAAAACATTATGTTATTAAAACTAAAATAAATTACATCGTAGTTAAACCTAAATTAAATTATAATTAAAAAATTAAATTGAAAACTATCTTTATAAAAAGAACATTAAACATAATAAATTGCTTTGTTATCAAACTTAAATTAAATTATAACAAGAAATTAAACAGGACTTTTAAATTGTTAATTTGATACAGATATTGATATATTATTTTTTAATATTTGTGGTCTTTAAAATTTTATTTTATTCAAATATAAAAACATTTTTTTTCTCAAAAAACCGCATTATAAAATCTCTACATAGACGAACACTAAAACAAAACATCAAAAATCAAGATGTATTTCGTTAAATTGTGCGAATACGCTTCTAGTTTATCAAAAATAAAACAAGGTGTTTACTCAAACACTTATCCTGTAAGCATTTACCGGTAAGAGTTAACACTCTAATTTATTTTACAATGTAATATTGTAGTCCATCAAAATGGTATTATACGTAACAATTTACCCAATAAGTGATAAACAGGCAAGAGTCGTCAATCTCAATTATTGGGTAAGACACTCAACCATGGTTATAGATTTTAAAGAGTGTCATCTAGATTAAGACAACCTTAAGAGGCAAATCCCATAAATTGACACAAAGGCATCTAATCCACCTTTCTTATATAATTTACTTTGTTCAAATCTTTTAACTCTTTACTAGTGTGGGACAACTAAAACTCCACCACAATTTATTATGTAAGAATACTCAATTCTCATGTTGCCAACTCAATACTCCAAATGTTTTCCTTTTACATATATAAGATTGTTTAAACTTTTTCAATTTATAATTCGTTCAATTACTATGTGTTAAAAAAATATCAACCTTCTAAAGTTATAGGTCAACATTTTTTTTGTCAAAACCTTTTTTTACTCGTTTTAGCAATTCATATGATTTTTCATCTAAGTATGATCACGTATGTTATGACACACTTTTGTAGTCTGTGCCTCAAAGTATACCAAGCTACTAACAACCTCTGAAAGTACCATAGACATGTTAGTGTAGCATTTGTGTGATTAGTCCCATGCGTCTGATTTTGTGTTTTGGCACGACCTAGATTGCGGCCAAAGTTGTTCAGTCTCCTTTGGTCGTTCCCTCAATGCGGTAGCAAGCCGATAATGGGTTAGGCAACCTAGTGTGCTACCCATGTTACATGTAAGGTCACGTGGACCACAATTGGCATCCAAAAGACGTGTGTTTTTGTTATCATCTCGATCGTGTACGTGTAACATGTCAAGATTAATGATAAGTCAAAATAATCACTCATTTATTTAACTTTAGCCCGCTTTTACTATCATTCAAAACTATTTATCGACATTTTATTAACTTTTATAATTTAGAAAAAACCTATTAATATATGTATTATTCAAATGATGTATTTACAATAAGTTTAAAAGATAAGCTAGCTTTGTTGTCAAACACGACCCTTGTGAATACTATAATGATTTGGCAAAAAAATTCAACGTATATTTGAAGACATTTACTAATGCGTTATTATTTTGTCTAATAGATTACTATACGTTAAATTTTGACCTCCTTTTTTACATTGGGACACTGTCTACATCGTTGTACGCTTCCTATTCATGATACGTGCTCACATCACTAGGCTATACAAAACAAGTCATTGCATTTGACAACTGATTAGACATTACACAAATATCGTATTTGAAATCACGATTGGTGCCTGAATTATTATTACTTATGAACAAGTGTTTATTTGAAATTATTCTTTCAAATAAACTTGTTAATTTATTGATCATATTTTTCAAAACTTAAATTGTTCAGTATCATTTTTTACATTGAATGAATGAATCATTTTAGTTGTCGTTTTTGTAACAAATTTATCAATAGAATGCAAGAGAAAGAACGTTAAACATGTAAAATAAGCTGCTATAGGATTTTCACTAGTTATTTTGTGACAAACTATAAGTTGTTATAGTATAAATAAAACAGAATAATAGTAAAACAAAGAAAATGAATCATCCGTTATCATTAATAACGAATTACAAGTAGATAACAATGAGATATTTTAATTTCAATATAATATTATTTTAAAAAATTACACCTTTATCCTAAAATACAAATAACATATAAAAAACTTACATTTTAACAAATACACTCATACAATTGCAAAGAAAAAAAAGCACTTGTTTCGTACACAAGTACTCATGAAAATGACGTAAACATCAAATTTATTTCATATAAACTTTTGAATGTACTTTTACTGATTTTTTCTTAAATTGTAAAATTATTTTGACACTAGGGTAGTAAGCATCAACTTGAACAACTACAAGGGGCATGATGTAAAAATCACAGGGGCTTAAAATGTAAATATTCTTAAAGGTCGGAGTCGGATAGGATTTCACTTTCCTTGTACGAAAACAGAACTCCATTAAGAAAGCAAGGAAACGAAGAAGACGCTCCCGCGGGTCCACCGGTTTTTTCCGGTCACCGTAACTCCCCTACTCCACTGAACCACCACCAACCACCGTCTTCCGCCGGTTCACTCACTCCCACAACCTTCCGACTCTACTCCCCGCATTTCCGAGCCAAAATTTTCCAAAGAAGGTCAGAGTTTTCTTCATAACTTACGTTCAAGTGATAGTAGAATCCAATTTATTTCCCCTTTGTTCACTTTGTCATTCAAATTTTGGTGTTGGATTTCTGTGTTTAGTTTCGATGGTCTCTTGATCATTTCAAAAAGTATTGTTGTTTCCGTACGCATTTGCAATGGATTTCGTGTAGACATCTCATGGATTACGTTTAGTATTTCGAAACTTTGATGAATGCATTGCTTTAGTCACAAAGAAATCGGAAATATTTTCATTTTTCTCGAGGGATTTCTTACTTTTTTTTTGTAAAGTTGAAAAAACTATTTACGCGGTTGCTTCAGAATTTGTCTCTAATCTCACCTTTCTACCGTGTGTTTCTGTTTTCGAGATCTTATGTGAAGATGAAGGTATTTCTGTGCTGCCTTTTTAGGGTCTAAAATTTTGATCAAAAAGTAACGTCTAGAACATTCCATATTATATAAATTTGATAAGTTCTATAATGCTACCCATATTTGAAACGTTGGAGATTAATTGATTCTACTTTTAAAAGTTTGATTTGTTTTGCGACGATAGAACACGATTCTTTCTAATGGGGTACTGATGCAGGGAAGAACTACTTGATTCAATAAAGTTTGATTAATATTTCCAATTTATTTATGGAGATCAGATTGTTTTCGACAATTCTTGAAGAAGCATGTGTGGTGGTCTTCATCAGTTAAACTTCAAGACTCCATCAAGATATGAATGATTCAATGAAAATGGTTGGATCTAATTACTTACTTGAATTTGCTGCCAATAATAATGTAGAGGGATTTAAGCGACTGATCACTCCTATTGCTTCTGCCATTAATGAAGTGGGTTTGTGGTATGGGCGTCAAAGAAACTCGAAGCGTATGTTAATGGAGCACAGAACTCCATTGATGATTGCTGCAACTTATGGTAGTCTTGATGTTGTGAAGTTGATACTTTCTTTATCGGAGGCCGATGTAAATAGTTCATGTGGCCCTGATAAAACAACTTCCCTTCACTGTGCTGCTTCGAGTGGTTCTGTTAATGCTTTTGATGTCATCAAGATTTTGTTAAAATCTGGTGCTGACCCTGAATTGGTTGATGCTGATGGTCGTCGTCCTGTTGATGTTGTTTTCGTGCCTCCAAATCTTTCGGGCATGAAGGATTCACTTGAAAAGTTGCTTCAAAATGGTGCGTATGGGATAGAACAAGAGGATTTCGGTTTGGCTTCATTAAAGTCGAATCTTGATTGTGTATGCATGTCATATGAGAAGAAAGAGTACCCAATTGACCCTTTTTTCCCTGATTTAAAGAGTGATGCTTATTCGACTGATGAATTCCGGATGTTTGCTTTCAAGATCCGTCCTTGTTCACGAGCTTATTCGCATGATTGGACCGAATGCCCATTTATCCATCCGGGAGAGAGTGCGCGAAGGCGGGACCCAAGGAAAATTCATTATAGCTGTGTTCCGTGTCCGGATTTCAAGAAAGGACAATGCCGGCTTGGAGATGTTTGTGAATTTGCTCATGGGGTTTTCGAGTGCTGGCTGCACCCTGCACAATACAGGACTCGGCTCTGCAAAGACGAAAATTTTTGTGCTCGAAGGGTCTGTTTCTTTGCCCACACACCTGAGGAACTCCGACCGCTATATGTTTCATCAGGGTCTGCCATGCCATCACCACGAGGTTCTCCGGCTGCCGCCTCCACCATGTCACCACCTCCATTTTCTCCACCACCTACGATGCAGCTGCACGACGGCAATCTGCAGGCAAGCCGCCTGAGATTGTCTTTTAACGCTAGAGACATTCAGGCAGAGGAGGTTAAGCTGCTTCTTGATCTTGAAATGAATCAGCGGCATCAGGTGGGTGTTTTTTCGCCATCACAGAGACCTGTGGTTCTAAATCGATTATATCCAATGAACCCATATTCACCAAATGGTTTTGACCATATGAGTTCTTATGGAAAACAATCTCAGTTGGTCTGTTTTAGCCCACACTTGTCAAAACGGGATTCTGCAAGAGGAAAGGTGGAGTGGTCTGTGAATGGAAGGTCCTAGCCCACTGAGCCTGATGGTTCATGTGTTCAGTCTTTGGTGAAGGAAACAGCAGCCAAGGGTTCAGAAATGGAACCACCACCAGAGACCGAAAAAAAGAAGGATATGGGAGCATGGTTTGCGAACATGCAACTTGATGAGATGGTTGTCTGGTATGACTCCAATCGGGATTCGGGACCAAGGAGGGAAAGGTAATTTTATTTATCTATTTATTACCAATTATTTTTGTTATTTTGCAAGAAAAAAAAAATAAGAATTTGGGTGAAAAATTAGGAAATTAATTTTTTTAGAACCTAGATCTCGGATTTACTTAAATCCTCCCTGTTGTTAAACATAAATATAAAATAGTTGTATCATGCATCACAGATCGTTTTTATGTTGTGAAAGTGTATGTATCTTTAAGAATTATGTTATTTTTAAAAAAATTGAAATTTAATTGTAAAAATTATTATTAGTTGAAAATGTTCTTAAATTCTTGCATGAAATAATCGTAGGTTATGTTTGATGACATATATATATATATATATATATGGAGAATATGTAATTTTTAAAAGAAGTGGTGTCGTTTTGGTGGCGGTAGGATGGATAGAGTTGGTGATGTGTTGCATTTGGTTAAGAGGAATTATAATTGTTTGGGACAGAAAGTGATTGAATTTGGTTGGTGGTTCTTTTAATGATGTATAATCGGTAATCAAATCAATATCAATCTTCCAATATTTTCTTTTAATTTTTAGAATAGCAGTGTTATATATAATCATATTTATATTAAAATCATATCAAATTATATATTATAAATATAAAAATAATTTTTAATATTTATAGTGTGAAGAAGAAATTAGTATGAGTGTATTAAGTCTTTCTATTTTAGAATTGTTTAATTTATCCTTTTTTCCGTAAATTTTGAATAAATAATATGAGTTCCAAGGTTTTTTTTTCAATTGAATTTTTGTAACTCGTTAAAAGTTTAATAGTAGATAATGATTTTGTTTTATATGCTATATTATTTCCACGAATAAAAATGTATTAATATAATTAAATGAAGATAAAAGATTGGATCTCTTTTAAAAACTGATAGATTCAAATCAATATATAATTTGGTACATAAGTTATTCTAACATGATGATGATGATTTTGGATTTTGCTGGTCTTGGAAAAGGATTTGCTCTTATCCATAATTTTTTTGGATGAGGATACATATACTCCTCTTAATTGGTAAAATATACTTCTTTTTATATTGAAAAAAGTCTAAAAAAATCCAATGGACTTTAGTGTTTGGAATGATCAAGTTTTTGGACAATTTTTTGGAACAAATAAGTCATTAGACATTCCAAAGCATGTTAAATAACTCATTGGAATATTTTTTGGAATAAATAAGTACTTGAACAATTTAAAACATTTTAAATAATTCATTAGACAATTTTTTGGAACAAATAAGTCTTTGGACAATCCAAAACATATTAAATAACTCCTTGGACTTTTCTAAAACTTGTTGGATACATTCTTATGACTTGTACACCTAGTTAATGTGGTAAAATAATGAAAAAAGTCCGAAAAAAAACCCAATGAACATTTATATTTTGAATGAGCAAGTCACTAAATATTTTTTGAACCAAAAAGTATTTAGATCTATAAAATTCAACAAATATAACAAAAAATAACTTACATTTATAAAAAAAATAATTACATTTAAAAAAGATTTTTGATAAAATTTATTTTAATTAAAATTAAAATATATTATGTCAGTGATTTTTTAAA